GGGAAGAAGGGGAGGGGAAAAGGAGGAGAGAACTAAGCTTTTTCCTCCGAAGAAGGAGGAGAGGATTACTAGGTAATCCCCCAAAGGAGAAGCTCTGCTGGACAGAACTGGAGCATAAAAGTGGAGGTTACCCGGGACAGGTTCTTAACATCCCACGCACATGGTGGTCCTTACAATAGCTACCGAGTTCTTTGCAGATGAAAGAGCTCAGAATCAGGTGCTGCAAGAGAGGCGGGAGAATCACCATGGTCTCCCACTTGGGGTGTTCCTCACTCCTTTACTCTCAGACCCAGCTTGTCTTCCGTGGATCGCAGTTACTAAGCGGCAGAGCGTCCATGGCAACCGCCTCCTGAGAGGTTCTCCTACAGCCTAGCAACTCCCGCCTTCTGCCTCTTCTCCAACGGACCTATCGGCTCTTGGCCAGCGGGTCGAGGCAGCCGCTGAGTGGTCCGCGGGAGCTGACGTCACAGATGAGAAAGGCGGGGTTGGGGAAGGGGAGGTCTGAGTCCGACCTACCCTGGGTGGTGGTGGCGGGTCTGCGACCCTTCGCTCTCGCCGCCCTCTGCCCCGCCCCTCGCCAGGCCCCCGCGGACAGGTGAGTGTTCTGGGTGACACCTACCTGCTGCCGGGATGACCCCGCAGAGTCCCCCCCCCACACCTCACCAAGCGGGACTCCAGCGTCTGTGCTCAGAATCCGGAAGGTCGCAGAAACCCTGCACGGCCCTTCGCTTCCTTCTCAGTCTCACTCATTCTCAAACGAACCCTGCAAACCCACGGGCGTCTCCTATCTGTCTCTGTCCCGCGTAGTTTGCCTTTCTGATACCTTTCCGAGGTCGGTAGTTATGTCACAGGTGGAGCCAGGAAAGGGCGACCAGACCCCCGCGTGTCCATAGCTCGTATTTCTCTCAGCGTCCAGTCTGTCCACCCGGGTGTGGGTCGCCCCAGCGCTGGCCGCTTTTGCCCCTGCGTCATTAGGCCAGACTTCCAGCTGCAGCCCGGGCAGGACGAGCGTCCCTGAAACTCGCCCCAGCCAGGTGTCCTCTCCCTGGCCAGGAGGTTCCTGGTGTGTTGGCGGTGTAGACCAAGCCCCTGTATATTTCCTTCTGGACGCTTCTGTTGTTGTAGACAGTTTAGACATGGCTACAATTATTCACCTAGTCATTTTGGAAAAAAAGAAAACAAATAGTTTTGTTAATAGACAAAGTGCTTTGAGGTATTAGGGACAATATTTTTCTTTTTGTAAAATGAAACAGCAACATAAGCAGAGTGAAAAAAGCATCCATGCATCCAGTCCTAAATTAAAAACAAAACAAGACAAAACAACTAAACCACATAAAAACCTAATCCTTAGCCCAGGGCCTTTTACAGTAGCCCTTGGAGACCGGAAACCCTTCCCTCCTTCCCCATTGTACTCCACATGCCAGAATTTAACGTTTATTTATACTCCATATTTTCTACTTTTATTATATATTTGTACCAAAACTGACACATATTATTTTAAAGTTGATATGGTACTATTGGTGCCATACACGTTCTAGGGGTCTAGGTCATTCATTTTCACTATGGTGTGGTAATTCTTTAATTAATTAATTAATTTATACTGAAGGTTTATTATTTTCTGAAGGTTTATTATTTTTCTGAAGGTTTATTATTTTCTGAAGGTTTATTATTTTTCTGAGTTTTATTTATTTATTTATTTATTTAATTAATTTTGTCTTTTTGAGGCAGGGTCTCGCTATGCAGTTTAGGCTGGCCTTGAGCTCACTTTGTAGCCCAGGCTGGTCTTGAACTCACAACGATCCTCCTGCCTCACCCTCCAGGCGTGTGCCACCATGCCCTGCCTAAGTTTTATTTTGTAATTCTTGTATAAAATTATCACAAATTGGGCTGGGGATGTAGTTTAGTGGTGCAGTGCCTGCCTGGCAAGCGCAAGGCCCTGAGTTTGATTCCCAGTACCAAAAAAGAAAATAGTAAAAAAAAGACCAAAAAAAAATTATCACAAATTATGTACACCTCATCCTATTTGTGGACTAGATATTCCCTTTAGAAAAATGTGAGAAGTATTCATATACATTCTTATTACATACATAGTATCCTGGTATCCGTCAAGGATTAGTGTAGCTGACTTACAGGGAATGTGCCCTTTCAAGTTTACTAGATACTGCTACAGAGCAATCCAATCCATAGTAATCTACACACCATCAATGTGTAACTCCTTTCCCAACAGTTTTTAACGGAATAAAGGTATTGTTCAACTCTGCCTGTGTTTTTATTTAATGTATGTATAAAGAGAAATTACCAAGGCTTTGAAACCCGGTGTCATTTCTTGTACGTCTCTACTTATTAATGCACTGATGACAGTGTTTTAGTCCTACTTCAGTTTGAAACTGAGTACTCCAGTGGACAGAAACAAAAGAAGAGAGTTGTATGTGAGCTTTTCAAGCCTATCCCTGCCATGATGCAGAGGAAGGTTGTGGGTTAAGTTTGGTAAACTTTCTGTACTTGTGTCTTCTGCAGAAAATGATCTATTGGTTTTTATACTTTCAAGTAGTTATAATCCTAAAGTCTTGCATAAATGTGCTAATGAAATACGTTCATTAAACTCAAGGCTGTCTGTGTTTTGAATTGCGATGGAGTGGAGCTTTCCAAAGCTTACAACCTCTGTGAGACCGATTCTGTATTCACTATGTTAATATTTACAGAAGACAACTCTAGTACTTTTTCAGTGTGTAAATACCTGTTGACTACACCTTAAGTGAATGTAGTCAAACATTGTGTTTGCCTTTGTAGCACATTCCTCATTTCTTAAAATGCTTTTTGGTCATCATGACTAATAGTATAATAAAAAGCAATCACATGGTCTAGGGGATGGATTTTTTCCATAGATATTTTCAATAACTTCTTAAAAATAAATTTACTTGGAAATATAGCTATAAAATTAATTAGTGATCTTAGTATGTGCTACACATACCGTTTTAGGAAGTGTCTGAGTAATAATTTAGAGAAGATTTAAACACTGTAAAACACACATCGCAAAATTAAGCCATTGACTTTTAAAAACTGAAGAATTATTTCTTTCTGAAAAGTTTGGTAAAATTTTAAGTTATATTCACTTAAAGACATTTTGTCATTTCCTATATGATTTTTTTTTTCATTGATTCATGAGATATTTGGAACTATGTTGTTTAATTTTCTACTATTTGGAAATTTTCCAAATATCTTCCTATTATTGATTTATAATTTAATTCTGATATATTAAAAAATACGTACTTTGATTTCAGTGTTTTATGATGACTGACACTTGTTTTATGATGCATGATAGGGTTTTCATTGGTGAATGTTCTTTGTGTAGGGGAGAACGGCGTCAAATCTGCTGTTTGGGGTGTAGTGTCATATAGATGCAAATTAGGTTCAGATAGTCGTAATGTCATTTAAATATTCTCTATATTAACCATCTTCTGCCTACTTTTTCTATAAATTACTGATGGAAGAGTGTTTAAATATCCAACTATTATTGCTGGTTTGTCTGTTTCTCATTAGTTTTGCCAATCTTTATGTTATATATTTAAAGTTAAGATTGTTATATCTTCAAATGAGCCCTTTATCCTCTTTATCTCTAATACTATTTCTTGTTCTGAGGTGTACTTGTTTTGATATTAATTATGGCCACTTCAGTGTTTTTTGATTAGTGTTTACACATATATTTTCATATTTTAAACACCTGTCTTTTTTATTTAAAGTAGGAATTTTTAGACAATATAGAATATGATGTGATTATTTAAAAATCATTCTGAAAATCTATGTCTTTCTATTGGATTATTTTGATAAATCTGTCATTTTGTTTGGCTTGTTAGGTAGAACTCTTTCATTTCCCCTTAGAGATTGCTTCTGGTCAGCAGTTAAAAAACTTTTTGGTGTTTGGGCCAGAATCCTTTTATAAAATATTAAAGCCGCAAAGACCTTGCATGTATGTCATTATACTATCAGTCTTTACTATATTAGAAGTTAAATTTTCTAATTAATTAGAAGTTAAAATTTAAAAGTTAAAAATAGGAAGTCTTCTAAAAATAACAATGTAGTATGTACTATCATAAATAGCATTTTTATTTTTCAAAACAAAAAACCTGAAAAGAATGTTATTATTTTACATTTTTGCCAGAATTCTTTAATTTCTTGTTTAGTAGCTGAGTTTCCATATGTTCTTCATTTAGTCTGTTCTGACAGTACGTATCATGTCACCTCAGGGAAACTCCATTGTAAGTTTGCGAGAGAATGAAGGCAAAAGAGGCAAATAACATCTGAGTATGAAAATAATTTTGATGGTTTCACTTTGGAAAGGTCTTAGGCAACCCAGGGATCCTTAGATTAGAGCTTGACAAGTGTTATTCTAAAGTTTAAAAAATACATTTTTAACTTATAAGATATGTTTAATTAACATTATATGATTTCAGTTATAAGACCCTTATAATAACAAAATTCCACCTAAGCCCCCCATCATTTGTGCTATGGTTAACTTACAATTTACTTCCATTTTATAAATCCCACAATAAATTGTTGTTTTTACTTTCAGCAATTCTCTTCCAGAGATTTGAAAGTGGGAAAGAATTCTAAAAAATATTAGTACAAATGCTTACCATTTCTGACATTCTTCATTTCTTTGTGTGGATCCAAGTTTCCATCTGGTATAATTTCCTTTTGCCTGAAGAATTTCCTTTAACAATTCTTTTATTGCAGGTCTGCCAATGATGAATTCTTTTTATTTTTGTTTTAAAATATTTCATTTTGCCTTTTTTGAAGGATATTTTCCTGAATATTGAATTATAGGCACGTACTTTCTATTAGCCCTTTGACAGTGTTAGGGCTGGGTGTGCAGCTCAGTGGTAGCATGCTAGCCTACTGTGTTGGATCCCTACTACCGCTAGAAAGTTGTGCTACAGGTTGTGTTCTGGGTTGGATAGCTCCTGACAGTAACTCTACACTAATTTATCTTTGTTCTTTCTAGTTTAAGGTGTCTTCTTACCCTAATTTTAAGGTTTTCTTATTATCACTGGTTTATACCCACTTGATTTTGATGAGGTGGGGAGTGTAGCAGTAGGCTGTGTGTGTGTGTGTGTGTGTGTGTGTGTGTGTGTGTGTATTTATCCCCTTGGAGTTCATGGAGCTTCTTAGACCTGAGTATTCTAGTTTTCATCACATTTTGAAAATATTCAGTTGGTATTTCTTGAAAAATATTTTGTCCCTCACTTTTTTTTCAGTTAAAAAAATTTGTGCACTTTAGTTGGTTAAACTGGAGTTTACTAATCTTTATTTCTCCAATATCTAGTCTGCTGTTCATCCCATCTAGTAAAATTCTATAAATATATATTAAAATAGTGTATATTGTATGTTTTATCTTTAAAGTTTCATTTGATTTTTCTTTTAATCTTTTACATCTCTCTTCCTGGTGTTCATGAATCAAATACTTGAGCATAGTTTGGTGGTCCCATCATCTCTGCTATTTCTAGGCTTGTTTCTATTGACTGCTTTTTCCTAATTATGGGTCATATTTTTCTTCTTCTTGGTATGTTTGACATCTTTTGACTGGGTGCTGGACATTATGATGTTACATAGCCGAGTATTTTGATAGTTTAATGTCCTTGAGACCTGTCTTATGGCTTTGCCTGAATAAGTCTTCAGTATCTTCACTCCAGGGACAGTTTAACCCTTACTTAAATGTGTGGCTCTTCTGAGGTCTCCACTGAATGCTCCAAGTCATCAGCATTGACTGTACAATCTGGTTAGTCTGACTCTCTACCCTCTATGAAGTCTAGAAATTGTTCCCTTAATAAGTCTACTAGCACTCGTTGCCAAAGTTTGTGAAGGGTCTGGCATTATGTGTGTATTCTATTACTCAGCAAAGACTCCAGTGGCTCCCTATGTAGATTTCTGGAGCTCTTTGCAATGCCTTGCTGATTTTACTGTAGCAGTGTGCTTCACAACTTCTAGCAGTGACAGCCTCTCCAAATTCTGATAAGTTTCTCAACTTACAAAGCCTGCAAGGCTCTCTTCTGTTTTTTCCACTGTGATCTGGAAATTGCCTCCAGGCTCAGTGCCAGGACAATAAGAGGGCTCATCGCATTTATTTCTGCTCTCTCAGTGAACCCCGCCCAGTGCTGCCTGTTGCCCGCTGTGTGAGAGCAGTTGTTTCATGTATTTGGCCTAGGTTTTTAGATGCAAGAGGCTGAGTCGTCGTTAGTCCCTCATGGGTGGCAGTATATTTTCAGTTTTCAAATGTGTTTTAGGCCGTGACAGCCTTGGTTTTCCTGACAAATAATAAAAAAAATATATGATAGTGGAATATTTTAGCAAAACATCATGATGTGATGTTTTTCATACAGTCTTCCTGAATAACTTTCAAAGATGTTGGCTAGAGTCAGAGCTCCAGTTGTGGCTGTAAAATGTTGTTTCTGCTGGTGAAATTTGTCTCCCATATGTGAAAACTCTACTTTTGTGAATTCTAAATAACTGATTCTATGCTTCAGATTTCAGATTCTAGGCCATATCTCATCCCTAATTGAAAACAATCTCTAAATGCTTTAAAAACCTTTACAAATTTTTCTCAGTCCAAATGCCTCATCTGACTTATGAACTTGACTCTTTATATATTAGCCTTGGAGTAGAAGCTTCATGGTTCAATGGTTAGGATGTCTCAAGATACCAGTCTAATAGGCTTAGAATTCTGTGGTCAAAGGCCCAAGTGAGCCATTGGATTTGGGATCCCTTATTGTAAAGAATTAACCAAAGTAAAATAGTAGTCCATACTCACTTGAAACTTCTTGCTAGGAGAAAAATAGTTTATTTCTAAATTTGATCTGAAGATAGGGTTCAAAATAAGGGAAACTTAAGGATTGGAATTTGCCTTTGAAAAATCCATATTTACAGTTTTAGTAAAAAGAGAAGTAGAGAACTGTAATTGTTTACTGAGGTTTTTTTGTTTTTTCACTGTCATTCTCTAAGGTTGGCTAATAGCATAAAGTACTTGGAGCAATAGGACAGAAGGATATAGAAAAAAAAGGCTCTAGGGCCATGTGGGTCATTGCCATGTGGTCTGAGTGGACTTTGACTTGGACGTAGATCCACAAAGAGATTATTTAGTAGTTTGGTCACCAAAGGCTTCAAGAAATGGCTCTTTAATTAATTACTGAAGTATGTTTTTCTTTTTTTCTTAGCAGATCATAGAATTAGTGCTGATTTTATTTTTTCTTTTCAGTAAATAGATCCATAGACATTAATCTCCAGATAATGATACTTAAATTATGAAAAGTATGTCATTGTCTGTGGCATCCTTAGTTTTCTGGAATAGTAATGAGCAAAATTTCCAGACAGTGGAACTGGTAAAAATGATGGAATAATGTATGTGTTCTAAAAGGAGAAAGGTACACTATATATATATATATATATTTAAACTATTGTAGAATGATATGTGCAATGATTAGGGTTAAATTTTTATATTTAAAATGGCATATAGGTAGATGTCTGTGGTACATATTTAATAATATATGTCTGTGTATTAATAAGAAAATGTCTGAGAAGTTACAACTGCTATTAAACTATGCATAATCAGTGTCTACTTTTAAGGAATTTACCTTTAAGGGATAAGGGATATTAATCTTTCACTATATATACTACTCTGAATTAGTAATTAAAAATTAACATTTATGCACTGTATACCAAATGCTGTGCTATGCATTATAGTCCTTGCATTCTTGTGGCTGCACCAAAATTTCTATATTAGAGGTGGCAGGTTGCCAGGAGAGGAGACCAAGTACTTGCTCTAATCTGCGTTTGCACACTAGCCACACCATTGTTACTCAGATTGTGTGTTTATTTAAGATAACACAGTAGGGTTACTGGAGTGTTGCCAAGGAACCTTTTGTTAATGCTGCTTAGAACATTTCAAAAAGGAAGTAATATTATTTCCTATTATTGATAGATGAAGCAACTGAGGCACAGAGAGGTTAAGTAATTTGCCCTATGTCGTATAGCTAGTAAATAACAGGGCTAAGATTTGAATCCCTCTTTGTTAAACTCTACATAGTTCAGGCTCTTGATTTGAATTTGTTACAATAAGACATTATTAACTCTCAGTTTTAAAAATTCAAAAATTAAGGTGGTTGTTTTAAAGAAATATGACCTTAAAACATTCTAGAGACATAGAGGTGAAAATAATTTTTTGAAATAGATAATCACTGGGAAGTATGGATAACAAGTTAGAACAAATGTCTAACTAATGAACAGGCAACTAATACTAAGTCATATGTGTTCTTGTATTTGTATCTTTTGTGATAATATTGTATGTGACTGTCTATTTTTCCTTTTTTTAACAGGAAGGATGAACAAATCATGTTTGAGCACCATGGAGCCTTTAGGCTCCACTTTACCGTCAACCTATGCCCACCCCGCACCAACACCGACCAAATTTCTCCCAGCCATTGGTACCATGGCATCGAGCTATAGGGATCGCTTTCCCCATTACAATATGACCCATAGCTTGAGCCTTCCTTGGAGACCAAGCACGTACTACAAAGTGGCTTCCAACTTGCCGACCTTGGGCCCATACTGCACCAGGTCTCAGAGGGTGCGCGAGAGCACCATGCTTCCCTTTGTTTCCAACAGAACCACCCTCTTCACCAGATACACTCCTGATGATTGGTACAGGTCCAATCTAACCAACTACCAAGAGTCTAATACTTCCCGACATAATTCAGAGAGGCTCAGAGTGGATACATCTCGCCTTATTCAGGACAAATATCAACAAACAAGAAAGACTCAGGCAGACTCTACCCAAAATTTGGGAGAACGTGTCAATGACATAGGGTTTTGGAAATCTGAAATCACTCATGAGTTGGATGAAATGATTGGAGAGACAAATGCACTTACTGATATTAAGCAAAGATTAGAGAGGGCTTTAATGGAGACAGAAGCCCCTCTGCAGGTAAACTTGGGAGCTGATGACAAAAGGAACTGCATTTTGATTACTATAGCTCACTGGTTGGGCTTCTGAAGTTATTTATATGTAGAATTATGTTCTATTTAACCTGTAGAAGCAACCCCTATCATTACATATGTACTGGTTTTAGTTATGGCAGAATCATTGCCATGTTTGTATAGTACACAGAACAACCACTTTAAGAATTCTGATTTAAAAGAAAATTAAGGAGATACCATTAAGACACATAATTTTAAAGTGAACATCTCTCTCTCTCTCTCTCTCTCTCTCTCTCTCTCTCTCTCTCTCTCTTGAACTCAGGGCCTTTCACGCTAAGCTGCATCCCAGCTTTTAATATTTTTCAAGTGTATTTTAATTTATTTTTAAAAATATAAGAAGTACTGGGAATTGAACACAAGGGCTTCACACAAAGCTACATCTCTAGCCTTTTTAAAAAAAATATTTTTGAGACGTGGTTTTGCTAAGCCATTAAGTTGCCTAGGCTGGGCTCAAACTTTCTGTCCTTCCACCTCAGCCTGTAGGGCTGGTGGGATTAAAGGCCGGCACCTGCTTATCTCTTAAAAAGGTGGCATGGTCTCTGCTGGCTCTAGATTAAGATGAAAAAAAAAACATTTAAAAAAAATCCCTGTAGTTTTTCATCATGAAATGCAGCTGTGTATGTTGTGGTTTTGGTTCAGGGCACAGAGTATCAAATGAGAGCATTTTAGGAGTGAGTTTTATAGAATAGACCAAGGGAACCGAGGTAATGCCAACAGCCGTGGCAGCAGAGGCAGCATTTAGTTAGTTGTTGACCTCTGACCAGGTTCTGAGTAGCCCCGAATCACCTCTGACTCCTGAGCCACCTGATGTGGCCTCCGGCCCTATTTTGCCCTTCACCACTCAAAAGAAACATTCTGTATTTAAAGATGTGCGAATATATAAATTATTTGAGAAGTTGTAAATATTTTGATGAACATAGCTAACACTATTTACGTTTATGTTTGCCTGAGTTGTCTGCTGTGTGATAAATGTTGGCACTAGGTCTTTACCATGGCATCTACCAGAAAAGTTTAGAGAACCAGGGAACTGGAAGGTAGTGGCTTGAACTGACTAGTCTTTTCTGCACAGTGTCACTTCTTGTCCCACTCCTCCCTACTGACCACAGATGCACATGCAATCCCCAGAATCTTAGCAAAGGTTGATAGTACACGGGTGCTATATTTTAAAAGTATCAGAGTTAGAAGGCCTCTTATACTTTCCTTGAACCTCCACTCATTTTGAGGATTACTGGTTTGTTTTATAGCATAGCATATCCCACATTACCTTCAAGAATCCAGTATCCTTGAGACAACAGCTCTTTCCCCTCATGGAGGAGATTTGGTTTCTTCTCTTAGTATTTTCAGTGATGCCTACTTTCAGGGACATGGCTCTAATTTCAATTCTTTTCTGTAATTTTTGTTTACACATTCTTGTGCCGGAACATTTACTCCCAACACAGGATCAGAAACTCCTGTTTAAGTTTAGAGAAAGTCACATCCACAGATACATCTCAAAAGAGAAAATACAGATGATCAACTAATGTAAGGAAAAATGTAAAACTTAAGAAAATAACGCCAATAAAATTGATCAGGTAGACTTTGGCCTCTCAAATTTGCAATAACAAAACCTCGTAACAGCTAGGATTGGCAAAAGAGTGAAAAATGTGTACTTTCATATATTACTGATGGGATGATGAATTAATAGAAATTTCCTGGAAAGTAATTCTGTAATATGTAATGAAGAAATCAGAGTTCCCTTTGACACATTGATTTCTCTTCTAATAAGTATAAATTGTACTATCAAAATTTAGAGAGTCATTCAAAGATATTTAATGATACTATATCTGGATTATAGTTTAGATACTCTTACATTTATGCTTTTAAAAAATTTAACATTATATAGTAGCCCTGTGTCATGAAATAGTTTTTGAAAAAACCATTTTAACAGCTACATAATGTTTTTTCATACGTATTTTATTGTTAGCAATCTAAGCTATTTTCCATTAGCATCATTAACATACTCTATCTCAAAGAATATTTCATGACTCAGATCTACTATTTATTGTCATTTTGAAAAGCATAATGTGAAAATGTAAGGACATCATTCCCTTCATTTTGTTAAAGCAAGAAAACAAAACAATGATAGTATGGGTAGGTCATATTTTCTCTATTTTTTTCGCCTGAATAGACAAAAGCATATCCTTTTTATAATTGGTAAAATAATACAGGACACTTTAAAGAGAAGCACTTGGAGGGCTGGGGATTTAGCTCAGCGGCAAAGTGCCTGCCTGGCAAGCGCAAGGTCGTGAGTTTGATTCCCGGTATTGGGGAAAAAAAAAAAAAAAATGCCAAAAAGAATCACTTGGAATTTTGGCTATGCAAATATTCAGATGTCCTGAAAGAAAACCATTCATTTCTTCCTTATTCTTCTCAGTAGAAAATATTTGGAAGTAATAATTTATTATTGAACTGTTGCTCTTGAATAAACTGCCAAGTAATTTTATCAAGTGTTAATTTGCAGAGAGCAAGTTGATACTGTTTGTTTTATTTTATCAACTTTCCAAATGAGGGCTTTTTCCAAGCTATGCTGGAGCTCCAACTCTTTACTTTTTAACTAGCAGCAAAGATATATTTAGTTGTCATGGTATTTCTCATACTAAATTTCCATGAAATGGTTTGAGAAGTTGGTATTAGGAATACTTACTGACTTATTTGTGAGATAACTATCAGTCCATTTGTATTTATGCATTTTATTATTTGTGGGTCTGTAGATTGCCCGAGAATGCTTATTTCACCGAGAGAAGAGAATGGGAATTGACCTAGTTCATGATCAAGTTGAAACGGAACTGCTCACGGTAAATATGCGGGAAATGCTTTAATGATGAAAATCTTCCCATTTACATTGTGCCTTTTCAGTGCTCCATTGCTTTAAGAATGATAAGTGGAAGTTTTTTCTTTGCCATTTCCTTTCCTCTACTATGTGGTTCTCCAGGAGAAATCTGAATTGACATAATACACTCAGGAAATTTTAGCCACTCCTTGGAGACTGCAATCTACTCTGTAAAAGATGTGGTCCTTATTGTTGCAGACGTGATTAGAATAGGAAATCCTGAGTGAAATAGCACTGCAGTCAGTGATGGGCCCCTGCGCTGCTGTTTCTTAATTCTCAGCTTCTGGTGAATCTTGTAATTCTTAAAAAAATCTTTTGTCTACTTTGTCATCTAAATGGCAAGGAATTTACAGATTTGTTCCCTAGCCGGTTGTTGTCACTGCTCCTGAGGTGTTCCACCGGAAGTAAATTGTAGGCCAGTTCTAAAAGCTTAAGTTTGCTCGCGAATATGCTGTGCTATTTTTAACAGCGGTTTTGAAACTCGGATCCCTTTAGTGTTTCTGTTATTCCTAGAGTGGTCCTCAAACCTGCCTGCACATTATAGTCACCTGGTGAGAATTCGAAAGCATCAGTGACTGGGATTCTGATTCAAGTCAGGAATGGGGGCAGGAATTGCTATTTTAAAAATATTCCTTTGGTAATCTTAATAAACCAGCAGGTATAAAAACATTGGCTTCATAAATATGAAATATTATGGAAGGAAATTTAAAACGAAATGTTTATGGGTTATAAGACTTAATTGTGTTAAAATGACAATACTTCCCAAACTGATACATATATCACTGCCATTTTAATACAATTCCTGTCAAAATTCCAGCTGACTTCCAAATGGAAATTGATAAATGGATCCTAAAATTCACATGGCAATCCAAGGAATACAAAATAGCCAAAATAATACTGGAACAAAAAGAAAAGAGTCACACTTCTTAATTTAAAAACTTACTGAAAAGCCACAGTACACAGTACTTGCGTATATAGAGATCAATAGAATAGAACTTGAATGTTAAGAAACAAACCCCCACTGTTACCATCAATTGATCTTTGACAAGTGTGTTGAGATAATTCAGTGAGACAAGAGTGGCCCCTTCAACAAATAATGCTTGGACGACTGGCTATCCATGTGTGAAAGAATGAAGTTGGATCCCCCCATTACTACATATAAAAATTAAATCAAAACGGATAAAATACTTAAGTGAAAGAGATAAAATGGAAAATTCTTTAAAAAGAAAAGCATATGCATAAATATTAGTGACACTGGAATAGGTGGTAGTTTCTTTGATGTAACTGTAAAGAAACAAGCAACAAAATAAAATATAGATAAACTAGACATTACCAAAATTGAAAGTTTGGTACTTCAAAGAACTTTATCAACAAAGTGAAGAAAAGATCTTTACAGATCTTTTGTCATATATCTGACAATAGACTTATATAGAGAATTTATAAATAACTTATCATTTTTAGAACAAGATAACCCAATTTCAAAATGGGCAAAAAATAGTAACAGACAGTTCAAGGAAGATATAGAAAAGGCCAATAAGCATTTGAAAAAATGCCCAACATCATTAATCGTCAGGACAGCATAAATTAACATCATAATGAAATCTGATGTCATACCCAATAAGATGCTTATAACAAAAAACACATAAAATAACAAGTGAGAATGTGGAAGAATTAGAACCTTCACATACTGCTGGTGGGAATATAAAAAGGTGCAGTGCAGCTGTTTTGGAATATTGTTAAATATAGGGTTACTATATGATCCAGTAATTCTACTTCTAAGTATCTGCACAAGAAAAAATAAAAACATATGCCCAAAGACTTGTACATGAATATTTATAGCAACATTTTCTTTTTTTTTTTTTTTTTGGTTTTTCTCCGGTACCGGAAACCGAACTCACGACCTTGCGCTTGCCAGGCAGGCGCTTTTGCCACTGAGCTAAATCCCCAGCCCCAGCAACATTTTCATAATACTCAAACAGTGAAAATAATCTAAATGTTTATCAACTCATCGACTGTATCAAGTGGGTAAATGAAATGTAATATAGACATATACAATAGAATTTATTCAGCCATAAGAAAGAATGAGGTAATGACACATGGACGAACCTTGAAAACACTCTGTTAATTGAAAGAGACACATCACAAAAGACCACATATTGTATGATTCCACTTGTAGGAAATTCCCACAATAGGGAATTTTATAGAGACTAAAAGTAGCTTAGTGGTTACCTTGGAGAAGGAAGCTTGGTGAATAGGAAATTTAGGGCAATAGCTAAAGAGTGCTTGTTTTTTCGGGTGAAGTAATGCAAATGATCTAAATTTGGTTCTGGCAATAATTGTGATAACTTTGAATATGTTAAAACATTGAACTGTATACTTTAAATAGGTGAATTATATAATGTATAAATTATATCTCAATAAAAGTATGACTTAAAAACAAAAAATATTGATTTGGAGGTTTATATTTTCCAGGTTACTAGCACAGTTTGCTTTACCATACAAAACTGAAATTAGAGTAGTAGCTCATGAATTGGTGGAGATGCCTTGGTCAGTGCCAATTCAAGTAACAAGTGTGTCCTGTCACTTACTCAAGGTAATAATAGTAACATATAATTTGTTATCTTACCAAAATGAGTTTCAATTTTTAAAAAAGCTAAGCGACTATTAGGAAAGAAAAAAGTAACTTGAAAAGGCCTACTTTTGAAAAACAGGAGCACAGTGAAGTATTTTCTCATCAACTCTGTGGTCTCTCACATTCAATCAACGATACAGGCTGAGCATCCCTAGTCCAAAAATCCAAAATCTGAAATACTCCGTTTTGTGCACCAATGTGGCACCACAAGTGGAAAACTCCATACCTTGACCTTATGGGACAGACAGGTTACAATGAAAATACAGTGATATGACACAAAGCTGTATAAAATTACCATCTGTGTGTATATAAGATGTATCTGAAACATGCATGAATTTTGTGTTTAGGCTGAAGTTCCGTCTCTACGATATTTTATTATGCGTTTGCAAATATTCCAAATTCTAAAAAAGTCTAAAATCTAGTCCAGATCACTTCAAAAGAGAGAAACTCCATCTCTCAGCTTACAGAGGGCTCCTCTGGAGGAGTCAGTCATGGCCCCATCTTTCCATTTTCATAGCACTCCTGGACGGTGCTACCTCTTTGACCTCCGAAGCCCATGGAACTGCAGAGTCATCTCACCCGCAGCCCTCCCTGCCTTTGCTCTGGGGTTCAGGCTGGGCCTGCAGCTGCTCAGAGTCAGAGCTCAGGCTGAGGCGCTGGGCCTGGCCCCAGCTGGCCAATGTCCTTACCGCAAGTGGCTTCCTCTCCTTTGTGTTGCAGAAGGAGAAAACACAAACACTGCAGCCGCAGAGGTTTATTGCAAATGTGCAAGCAATCAGTTCCGGACTTGGAGAGACATTTCAGCTTAATCCAGGGCAGGAGGGCTCTGCTCTGAGAGAAGACTGAACAGATAGACCCCTGACCCCAGCATGGGAAGTGTTGGGGTGGGCTCTGACTACCAGTAATAAGAACTTTCCTCTGCATAGGTTTCTGTCTGTAAATGGGTCGTGGGACCACAGCTTCTCGCAACAAGCCATGTTGCAAAGCAAGCAAGTTGGTCCACTTTGGCAGAGTCAGGAATAAATGAGAATGTAATCACTAATGAAAGGAAATTCCTCTTCTTACTGAACTCTCAGTGAGAATATGCGACTATTTGACGATCATTTCATCCTTAAGTAGCCTTCTATATCAAACAGAGTACCTGCTTCTGTCAGTGAATTTTCCATCAGCTAGACTCAAGTAGAACTGCAGTTTGATTTTATTTTTATTTTTTTTTTCAGTTTGACTTTAAAAGTGTAATTGTACTTGCCTGTCCTACTTGAATCCTGTAGTAGTTTACCCATTTTCCTCAAACTTAAAAATGTGCAGTTAATGTGGATAAATAGAAGTACAAATATAGCTTTAACTTACTGGGAACAGGGTCTGGGCTTACCAATGACATCCAAGAAATGACTCTATTTTTTCTTTGGTTTTTGGTTCTCACTGTGAAGTCCAGGCTGGTCTCAAACTCGCAATCCTCCTCTCTCAACCTCTGGAGTGCTAAGATTATAAGTGTGTTCCACCACCCTTAGCAAGAAATGACTTTATATTCACAATCCAGGGTGTTGCTCAGGGCCAGAACCTCTCTCTATCTGCAGCCAGAACTCAATGTTCTTGTGCTATGGCCCATATTCCTCAGCTGAGAGCACATCCCACATCTAACAAGATTAAGTTCTAACATCAGGCAAATCACCTCTGTTGCAACATAAGATCTCACACTTAATGAACACTTATATCAGCTAGGCACATACTTATCTATCCAAATGCCATGGAAAGGTGGGTATTACTGTTAGTTTATAACCTGTCTTTGGTCACAGTTTAACAGATGGCAAAGCCAGCATTTGAGCAGTGGTGTCTGATGCTGAAGTATATGTATTTAATCACTATTCCACCCAAGACCAGGGAGTGTGATGTCCCAAAGGGTTTTTACTTGAGGCATGAAGGAAAGCAAGAGTCTGTTTAGTCTCTATTCTGCCTCCCTATCCCACTGTCTTAAGAGTATAGTTTCCAAGAGGTGCATTGTAATAAGAGATGCCTTATAAAGGTTTCACCTGCTCAAATAGTAGGATTAACCCAAGTCTTCAAACTGCTTGATGTGATTCCTTCTTACATTTCCGTTGGAAGACCTGCAAATGAGGTCACACTTTTATTACTTAGAATACTGAGAGTTTAAGAATTCCAGAGAAGTTACAATGACCATGTGATTCATGAAATATATTATTTCTCATCAGGTCAGGATCCAGAATTACTGCAGCCACTTTCAGGCCCCAAATGTGTGGTTTCTAAAAGTGGCTCTCTGCCAGAACCTTAGCTTCCATAGGTATGAGGCTGCAACCACAAGTCCAGTTGGATCGAAGCTCCTCCCCCACTTCTGGTTTCTGTGTGTATCCACTGTCCTCTATATACTTGGGGTTTTTGGGGGTCTTTTTTGAGACAGGGTCTTACTATGCGGTTCAAGCTGGCCTTGAGCTCACTTTGCAGCCCAGGCTGGTCTTGAACTCACAACGATCCTCCTGCCTCGGCCTCCAGAGTGCTGGGATTACAAGTGTGTGTCACCACGCCTGGCCTATATACTTCCTTAGGGGCAGGTGAAGGGATGCTTTGCACTGCCCTTACTTTTGCTTTGGAATTTCAAAGCTACTTTCATGTATGAGCACAGATTGAGAAATCAACATAGGGAAGAGCTCCAAGCTAAAGTACACGGCTTTAGGCTCTCCATTTCCTCTGCCTCCAACCATCTGACATTCACCATGTGACATTACTTAAATTCACATATAAAACTGTTGTTTAAAGATTTTTATAAAAAACTCATTAAATGCATTTTCTCCTACTAAAAGTCCCAGGAATTTCCACCATGTGCATTGTATTTTAAAACACACTGTACATAATACAAACCAGTAGGATTTGGGGATTTAAGTAGGGTTTTCTAAGCAATACTCTATGCATTATTTGCCAACATCTCACCAACACACACACACACACACACACACACACACACAAACACACAGTCATTGAGACAGCTGAGAAATGAACAGTACAAATAAAACAAGACAAACAAAGCAAAAAGCAAACCCCTAAGACTGATTGCACAGCCCACAGTGAAACTATGCAGGAAATCTTTGTATGATTGGGGGTGTTTTGGTAGGACATGCAAGAGGACACTTAATTCTTCTTTCTCCCATTGATTCAGAGTATCTAAGAAGCAATGAGGCTGTCATTCTAGGTACATTCAATATTTCCTGCTAAACAAGAAAAGAAGGGAAAGAAAAGAAAATTACCATGTAAGTGGGTAATAATTCTAGAGCAAAGCCTTTTATAATCAAAATAGCAAATGCAGAAATCAAAAAGTGATATGGGAATTCATAAAAATGGTGAATGTCTACATTAAAAACACCCTGCACTACGTATGGGCAGCGGCCAAACTTGTAAAAAGATAAACAAACACATATTGTGGGAAAAGATGTGATTTTATATAATAAGAACTCTTGTCATTAATAAGAAAAAACAGGAAAAAATGGATAACCTGGTGAACAGGCAGTTCACAAAAGAAGAAGTTCCAGTGATGAACAAATATATACTTGAATTAGACTAAATTCAGGCAAGTTGGCTAGTCTTCTGAGAAGGATGCCCATCATACTGGAAAAAATTTAGAGGAGTGGTAGTGGCTATTTGGCTACAGGAAAAGACAAGACATACTGTTCTCAGGTGGTAGACAGAACTTTTCTAAAGGGTGATTGGGGTGTACTTGTCAAAACCCTGGGAAAAGATATACCTGTTGGCACTGTTTGTATATTTATTACATTGTCCACATTATTGCTTAATATCATGGAAAAATGTTCAAGTTTAAAATGCCATAAGGCTGATCAGCTCCGTGGCACAGCATCTGCCTGGCAAGCACAAGGTCCTGAGTACAATTCCTGGTACCAAAACATACATACATACATACATAAATAAATAAATAAATAAATAAATGCCATAAAGCTGTACATATGGGATGATCACTTTTTACATGAAAAAGCAGCAAGAAAGACTATGTTCTTTCAAAGAACATCTTCTTGGTGCTATTTTGAGTTCATAATTGTCTAATGTGAGTATTAATTTCAGAGCGAAGTGAGTGTCTAAGATTCCTGAAGGAGCGTATGTGATGGGATAGTCCATACATCCTTGCACATCCCAACATCACAGGTGTGGTCAAGTAGAGAAGCTGGTGAATGTATTGTGCTAGTGTAGGAGCTGGGCTGCAGGGCACAGGCAGGACCATGTTTGGACCAGAGAGCTGGGCCTACCAGGGGTTGTGCTAACTGCCAGGAGGCGCTCCTTCTGGCCACCCTCTCTCCTTTCTGGATTTACTTTGCTGCTATAGTTATACAATAACTGTTTTTTTAAAAATAATGGCTGTTGTAGAATAACTGTTACAGAATAAGGTGTGTACTTGAGTCCAAACTTATATGTTAACATAATTTTGACGTCATTTTGCTGTTTCAATTAAGGATAAAAATAAAAAGAAAGTGAAATCTTAAAATTTTAAGCATGTCTCAATCTATTCTACAATATAATATATAATATCATACCATATCCTCATATCCCTGTTACAGATGAATGGGACACATGGATAGTAAGTGAATTTAATAGTGTTTTCTTGCTTAACTTTACTAGTTTTCAAGAAATAAAGTTTGCTTCATTGGTAGATTGTTACATTTCTGACTTTGGATGTTATACTCCATAATGAAAATATTAATGTGTGTTTTACTTTTCAATTAAGTAGGAAGTTGATGTTATTCTATGTTGTCAAGAAAGGATGAAGCGACATTTGGATAAGGCTATTGCCCAACTTGCGTAAGAATTTTGCATCTCTATACAATACTACATAACTTTAACTCTATAACTGAAGTTTACTTTCATGCCTCACATTAGTTTTCTCTTAGCCTCTTACAAACACACACATGCAGAGAGAGGCACACACGTATACTTTTACTCAGATATTGAGTGCTTGGGATATTTGCTTTAAATTTTTATTTAAAGAAGTGAGGTGTTATAGAAAGAACTTCTACCCTCACTTGGAATATGACTAAGATTTCTCTTAATTAAAAAAACTTCAATTTTTGATGAAAAGTTGACTTGTATATTTTTGGCCCTAGCAGTTGGGAAAGTAATGAGGTATGTATGGGTCACTCATGTTTATTATCCGTACCTCCTTAACAGTCTAGCAGCCCTGGCATCATCACCAAGTTCACTACATTGTAATGGTTTTCTTATCCAACCCCCCAGCAGAATACAAGTTCCTCAAGGTCACTGACTTTCTTTTGTTGGCAACATTAGATACTTAATATTTAGGAAAAGGGTGGGAGGAGAATGGGAGAGGGAAAAGAATAATAATCAAAGTGATGATAACAGCTGTCAGTTCATGGGTAGAAAGATCATGATTATGGCCATAGAAGGAAGTAACGTTGGACATGCCAGCAAGAAATGAGAGGGCAGGGGATACAGCTCAGCAGCACAAGTGCCTGCCTGGCAAATGCAAGGTCCTGAGTTTGATTCCTGGTACAAAAAAAAGAAATGAGGGTTTTGCTTCTCCAAAATGTTATAAAAGGTAACATGTGATACTCAGAGGGATGAATGTTATAACAGCACCAGCCACTGCTCACTCAGTTTGTCCATGTGTGCGGTGGTATCCACCCCGGAACAACTGGTGAAGTGTATGTGTAGAGATTCTCTTGAGATGTGATTAGAAGGGTCAATTCAGAAATTCATGAGAAAGGGCAGGATGATTGAAGATGACCAACCTGGTTTGGCATTTCTGGCATTAATTTTTGATTTCTCATCCCTAGGAATTGCAGAAACACAGCTTAGTGTGGTTTAAGGAATCATTTCTGTTGTTTTCTTGTGGCTCTCATTTTTTTATAATCTAAAATCTGCTGCATCTTTTGCATCCTTGGCTCTTTGTGGCTTAGATCCTTGCGTATTAGAATAGCTACACCCCTCTAGAAATCCTCATTACACATTGCCTCTGTGCTAGCTGTACCATGGCTTTTGCAGAAGATTCTGCCTGTGTGTGTACCCTTGTTTGGAATCTTTGTTGGTGACCCTTTGAAGAGCTTAGCTTTCCTTTAATATATGGTAGGCACAATGTTTACCTCATTTTCCGGGGTGGCTTCTCTGCCATGCTCTGTCTAACGATGGAGATGAGAAGACGGTTTTCTACTTCGCTTGTTTTGGAGGGAGCTGTGAAGCCCTTAGCTGAAAAATGGAATCTCATTAGGCCAACATGGTAGCCAAAATCCTTCCTATCTTGGGCTATATCTTGATGGAGAGCTGCTTCAAATGCCTTCTCAAAGAGATTTTGAGGCCAGGTCAGAAGAGATCCAGGCAACCCCTCCTCATGAAGGATGTCAGCCCAAGAGAGGGAGCTTAAGGGGCATCTTGATGCCAGATTGCAAAAGACAAAGGCCTTGTAGTCCCAGTTTCCTTATAAAAACTTCAGTCGCGAGACAATACAGAAGTAGAAAGGGCAGGCAGCTCCTTCATTTTTCACCCTTCTTACGTGTGTGTTTTTAGAGTTCACAAAATGAAGATGACTTGCCTGCAGCTACCCTCATTTCCACTTTACAAAGCAGAAATTTTAGCTTTGATGGGTCAAGTAATTTCTCTGAAGGCACAGGCCAAGTTGGAGGGAACCTGCAGCTGGAATCAGTTGAACCTGTTGGTTCAACTCAGTACAATCTTTACTGAGTGGCTCCTTACATTTTGGCTTACTTAAAGCACTAGGAAAACAGAAAGGACTAAGATAGTTTATTTGTCTTGCTTTTTCAAAGACTGTATGCTGATGACTTCTAACGTTTTGTTTCCAGCCTAGATATTTCTCAAATTCCAACAACCTACTGGGCATGTCCACATGAATATTTAGTGAACATTCAAGCTTAGTGTGTCAATTTAATGTGTCTTCTCTTGCCTCCCTCACCTCAACTGACAGAATTCCATTATTTTGATGACTCAATTTAAGATCTTTTTTTCTGATTAAAGTCCAGTCTCATAGGAGATTCTCTTGAATTTATCTTTTAAACACATTTGGAATCTCTACCTTCTTCATGATTGTACCTTTGGTCCAAATCACCACCATCTGTCACCTCAAGCACAGCCATGATCACCCAGTGAGTCTCCCAGGAGCTCCCTGCAGTCTGCTTTCAGCCTGGCACCAGAATGATCCTTTTAAATCAGGGTCTTTAATTTGATTAGAGGAAAGTATGACTCTTGCCAGTGACAAATGTGGATGATCTGAGTCTTCCTTTTCAAATCCTTGTCCAGTGTCACCTGGGAAGACCAAGCCTGAACATCCTGTTTAAAATAATAATCTGTTCTTCTGCCTTCTTCTTCCAGCTTTTTTTTTTTTTTTTACATTGTTCTTCTAGCCACATGAATTCCAATTCATTGAATCTGTCTCCTTTCAGTAGAAGGCAAGTCCCTTACAGATGTCTGCTTCATCCATGGGTGCATCCCAGGCTTACAGAACAATGGCTGTCAAGTAGTAGGCACTCCATAATTATTTGCTGAATGAATCATCCCATCAACAAAGATGTGGTTCATCTGCCACCCATACCTATCCCTTTCTTTGAGCCTGTGTCTTTGAGAGTCAGTTGTGGGTCTCTTCTGTGTAGCAAGGCAGAGAAGACCATGCAACTTAGAGCTCACCAGGGTCTCTTCCTTCCCAGCTATGAGGCTTCTGGAGCACAGAGCTGGGATGAGTCATAATTCATCATTTCTTTTCAAGAAATGCTCCTACTCCAGGAGTTAATTTCAACTCTGGGTTTTATATTTCCTAGAAAATTTTTTAGGTGTAGCATGACCACAAACTGGTCAGGGATGGATAGAGAGAGGCTTCACTCTTAGTGTCTCATCATTTCTTGGGGAATTACCCTTAAAGAATAGAGGAGAAGGGGATGAGGATGTAGAAATGGGAAAAGAGGGCACAGAAATGGACAGGTTACTATGAAGCAGTGTCCTGTCTGGAACTGCCGGTGTGTACAAGGAAGATGCACACTGTTTATCTATGTTGCCTCTCGCCGCTCCTACCCCACTCCTTGAAGAGGAAGTGTGTGCAGGGCAGGAGTAGGGTCCTCATGACTTACACACATAGCCATCTCCAAAGAATGCTCTGTTTGATTGGGAAGTTGACTGTTAGGTGAAGGAGGAGAGATGGGGAGAACAGGAACGAGGGCATAGAAGGGCAATTTCCTGCAGGAAATTTTTGGCCGAACACAAAACCTTCTTTCTCTATTTGTGTTTTAGCTCTAATAGAGCTGCCCAGCATGAGCTAGAAAAGGACCTAAGTGATAAACAGGCCGCTCACCGCATCGATGACAAGTGCCACCACTTGCGCAACACATCTGATGGTGTCAGCTACTTCCGTGGAGTGGAGAGGGTTGATGCCACGTAAGTCACACACGGGCCACTTCTGTGATTTTGATGTCATTCATTCATTCTCCGTCCTTTCAAAATGATGTCCCTTATGGAGCGACTTAGTTCACTTTCTGCTGCTATAACAAAGTACCCCAAATGGGTGACTTGTAAAGCATACAGGTTTATTTGACTCACAGTTCTGGAGGTTATAAAGTCTGAGGGCATGACAGCAGCTTCTGGCAAGGGTTCCATTCATTGTGGTATTTTGGGTCATTGGAGCCTAAGCTAGAACTTCAACTCACCGTTAAGAGTCTTGTTTAATATCTTATTACACTAACAAGCAAACAAATATATAGACATACCAAATTAACAGTCAGCCTTTAGTTCTAGCATTCCTTCCCACATTTAGATAGCAATTCGTATTTTTAAATTAAGAAAAGTATTACATACACACTACTTTTATAGTCAATTACAATTTTCATTTCATAATGTCAGTAATATTATTTGTGAAATAAGTTTTCCTGAATTAATAAATAAATATGAGTGAGTTTGCATGCTATACAGATTACTAATTAATCTTTACTTTCAAGTTGTTTCTGCTTTTTTGGGGATTGGTATATGTATTTCTGAAATTAATATCTTCCTGCAGCCATTTTGTGGTACATTATTTCCTAAGAATAAAATTCTAGAAGTGGAATTTCTAGAATGTACACATTTAAAATCTTTTGGTTTATGTTGCCTTTGTAACCCTCCAGAAAGGTTGTACTAGCAGAACTTCCCACTTGTAGGATGAGAGCCTTCTAAACTTGCTCGTCAGCACTGCAAATCATCATTTGCTTTACCCCTTGCAATTCTGATAAAGGATTCTCAATATACTGCTGTTTTTATTAGTACATTATTTGATTGCTCCTGAGGCAGAACATTTTTTCATATGCTTCTTTGGTTGGTCTGACACATTTGTAATGAACCTGCAGACCTATACCCTTCATTAATCCTTTTCTATCCCTGAAATAGTAGAAGAGGTATTTATGCTTTGGATTTGTAGACCCTTGGTTAGAAGTAAAATAAGGAATATTTAAGAAAAGCTTAACATGAGGTTTACTCCGATGTTTCTATTTTATGCAAGGAGACTAGGATCAGTGGTTTGCGGGTTTTTCTTTCTCAGGATAAATGGTTGCCCGCAGACACCATCTAAACTGCTGCATCATTGTCACCACTGTCTGATGTGTTTCCCTTTTCAGGGTCTCGGTGCCTGAGTCTTGGGCCAAATTTACAGATGACAATATTCTCCGCTCCCAGAGTGAACGGGCAGCCTCTGCAAAGCTAAGGGATGACATCGAAAACCTTCTGGTTGTGACTGCCAATGAGATGTGGAATCAGTTCAACAAAGTGAACTTGGCTTTCACCAATCGCATTGCTGAGACTGCAGATGCTAAGAGTAAGATTCAGATTCACTTATCCAAGGTAAATCAACTACAAGGTATAGCGGTAGCATGGGCAAGGCAGGGTGCTCTGGGACCACAAATCTTTTACCACTCTCAGCAAAAAGCCATAAGACATATGAGCTCCTGGCTACACAGAGTAAGAAAACTAAAACAGCATGAAGTATACCATTTGTTTCAGCTAGGTAGCTAGGTGTCAAAATGAAATTGGAATGCACTGGTGCTTGGAACACAAAGAATGCACTGTGCAGTGAAAGGTTCTTAGTATTTAATGGAAACAAAAATATTATTCTTGAAGTTTAATGAATCATTGCGTATAACAGGAAGAAAATTTATTATTAGAACACATGGTAGGAATGTTTTCTGTTCAATGATTTCAGACCCTTTTTCTGGAAGATCCAAATACAGAAAACTGTTGGTAGTTCACAGTATTTTTGGCATTGTAAATCTTTGATTGCTCTAAGTGTAAGGACTTTACAATGACAATAAAGGATTCACGCAGAATTTATTTCAAGATAAACAGGGAGCTCTTCCTTTACCTAGCATCACTCTTGTAGCTTTTAACTACTTTTGTGGATTATGCTGTGTATAGTTGGTCATTTCTTGAGAACCTTGCTCAGTTGTTCTTGTTGCTCTAGGGTGGCATTGCCCCGTGGGGGGTGCCATGTTCTCCCGGGCTCCAGAAATGTACCTTCCCTTCTCATTACACAGCAAATATTGCTCAAGCCAGACAATGTACTACACTGTAAAAGGCAACGAGACACATAAGATACAGCTTTTGTTCCCGAGAAGCTTATATTTGTGAAGAGATGCTTGCATATGAAAAGTTCACAAGAAGGGCTGGAGATGTAGCTCAGCAGCACAGTGCCTGCCTGGCAAGTGCAAGGTCCTGAGTTCAATTCCCGATACCAAAAGAGAAGCTTTTGCAAGCAACACTCTGTGGCAAATTATCAAAATAGTCTGACACAATTTGAGCTTGCTACAGCAATAAAGTCTAACCTATTCCATCACTCTCCCCTCTGTGAGATGGTCCATTACATAAACTTCAACAGCATATAAAAAAATTAATAACACAAATTACAAGTTGTAACTGTCAAATAACAAATGCCAAAAACCCAAAAACCTTTATGAGGTTCATAGGGAGACATAAAGATTCCAAGTGGGATGAAACCTTGAGCAAAGCCTTAGAGGTAAGAAATCAGAGTTGAAATCAAGTCTATGAGGAGTCCAGTGTGGCTGGCATAGCTGGTGTGGATCCTAGAGAAAAAATCTGGAAGATAGATGGAAATCAGATTTTAGAAAACAATATTAAGATGCCATTCTAGGTCTTTTAGAAGGCTGGTGTGATAGAGTTTGTGTTTTCAACTAATTGTTATTTACTACTGTGCTAGCTTGCTTGGGCTGCTAAAATATAAAGTATCACAGAGCAATTGGCTTAAAGAGTAGACATTGATTGTCTCACAGTCCTGGAGCTTGGAAGTCTGAGTTGAATGTGTTACAAGATTAGTTTCTTCTGAGGTCTCTCCTTTGATGGAGTGTTCTCTCTGTATCTTTACACTATCTTATCTTTTCTGTATCTGTATCCAAATTTCCTTGGCTTATAAGGGTATTCTTCATATCGGATTGGGATGCACTCTAATGATCTCACTTTAACTTAATAGCTATGCAGAGACTCTGTCTCCAAGTATGTTCACACCTTGAGGTACTTGGGGCTAGGATTTCAATGCAGGAATTTTGGGGGAAGGAACACACAATTTAGTCTATAAGTGTATTCATGTTACTGTGCTAGACACTTTGGGTATACACACATGAATGTCATGTCTTAGAGTGATATGCATTCAGGAAATGGTAAGCCCTTCGAGATGTGTAGGACAGCCACTTGAAACTACAGTTAAAAGAAAAGACTGCTTAGTAGAAAGAGTGATGTTTCTACTGGTGAATGCAGACATGGCTTTGTGGAGTAGGTAGCTTCTGAAGAAGGCCTTGGTGATGGAAAGAGTTTAATAGCTTCTAGCAAATTGATTAAAGATTAGGGGAGAGGTCAAAGCTCAAGTGACAAATTTAGGAGTTCCTGGATTACAACAAGTGCTAAATGTGTGTAATTATGTAGGATAAAGAATGCAGCAGAGAAGTTGCCCAGGACGGAACCTTGCCCTGATGGTGGATAAATGGATAAATTATGTAAGATAAAGAATGCAACAGAGAAGTTGCCCAGGACAGAACCTTTCCCTGGTGATGCATACGGCAGGGTTCCAAGAAGAAGGTGATTTCTAAGAAGCCTCGGTATAGAATTTTAGAGGCAGTTTCATAAGATTAATGAGTACAGGGGCCCCCAGGAGATTAGACACTCAAGAAGCAGAGGGAATGGGTATAGAACACGCTACTCCAGCGCGATCATAGACAGAGGGGTTGGAGAGGGTCCACCTGGGACTGGACAGCAGAGTGATGGCAAGCACTTGAGGTTTACAGAAAATAGTGATACTTTGGTGTGTCTCTAGCCAAGGGGGAGGGACAATGGTGGGAAGCTGGGGAACTACAGGAGAGCAGAGGCCTAGGAGAAGGGCAAGTGTTCAGAGAATTGGAGAATGACGAGGAGCAATCAGGAAGTTTTTGCAACTTGGGGGAACCTCTTTAAGAAACAAAGAATATAAAGTCAGAAATACAAATCTACCAGTATTCCTCCCGTGCAAATGAGGCATGCTGATGCCTAAACGTGATGAGCTTCAAGGCAAATCTTTTGTTAGGAGGACATCTCTCTTAAATTGGCTGGAAGATGAAAAGGCCAGGCTACCTTGATGTGAGGAGGGAGATTAGGGCCACCCAGACCTCATGGCCTAACTTTCCTCCATTACAAACCGGATGTGCACTGGTCAATAATGAACAACTGGCGCTGGGGTTGGTGGGGGCCAGAATCCCTGAATTTTAGCATTTTGCAGTTTCTGTGGTGTATCTGCTCCAGCCCTGGCTGCTTTCAAGTCAACAGCATGAGGTCACTGGACTCAAGAGTTGGGAAGAGAAGCACAATGGGTTCTACAGAGCAGATTCTAGCAGAATCCAGTATAGCACGTTAGATTCCCTGGGGTCAGAACTAGGAAGGAGGGAGGTTCTCAGGGCCTCAACTTCCTTCTCCCAAAGGGTGAAGCAAGTAGAAGGTTGCAGGCAGGGAGCAGGTTGTGTAAGGCATAGCACCAAGCTTCAGGCAATTGCTTCTCTTTGTCACAGACTCTGCAGGAGATATTCCAGACAGAAATGACCATAGAATCCATCAAAAAGGCCATCAGGGATAAGTCTGCCTTCCTGAAGGTGGCTCAGACCAGGCTGGATGAGCGCACAAGGAGACCGAACATAGAGCTATGCCGAGACATGGCACAGTTACGGTAAGGCTGGGCAGAGGGAAGGTTAGGCTCATGCTGGTGTGACCCCATCCCCTCGACCTGACTACAGCTCTGGTGCAGTATAAAGGTGCTTTCTGACCATAGGTCCTGCAGAAGCCTTCTCATTCCAGTGGTGGTTCCAGGTAGTGGATTTCCTGGAGGGGAAGTTAATAATAGGAGTTGTTGAATGGGTGACAAGACTCCCAGTTTGGGGCGGTGGAGAAACTTGGAGATAGTTGTTAGTGAGGGATGCAGAATAGTGTGAGGGTACCTAAAGCCATGGGATAAGTCATTTAAAATGATTAAGATGGCAAAGTTTCTATTATGTACATTTTACTATATAGTTTTGGAAGAGGAAATGACATCAACACTACACAAACACTATGTTAGTAAACATTTTGCTCATGCAGAAAGTTCCGGTAGTGTTTGGGTTTCTCCACACTTCCCTGGAGTCTTTGGAGTTTCCAGGGCACCTCTCTTGTAAGCAGCAGAAGTTGATAGCTGTGTGTTTCTCAGTACACACCTTTCCCAGATGAACAGAATTTGCTTTTTCTTTTACTTCCTGTCAGTGTCCTAGTATGTCTGCTTCATCTGTTCCTTCATCAACTTTAGGATAAAACCTACTTTTGTTCCTGTCAGTATTTCTTGTCAGGAAAACTCTTGCCAAAAATATTTAGGATTATTATTGGGGTAGATTATTTTCTTTTTTAAGTTGATCATTCTGAAAGCAACATTTTGGCTGTCCAGATTAAAGAACAGCAAGGATCATAAACTCAAAAGAGTGAGAACAGAGAAAAATTGCTGTTTTCACTTCAAGGTTTTTATTTTTACTTAAAATATTCTAAATGGGTTCTTTCAACAGTGATTTTAAAACTTCTTGGCATTGTTGGTGGTAAGCCAGACTAAACTCTGCTTTACTTAAATAATCCTGATATGTTTTTTTAAAAAGGTTATAGTAGCTGTACTTGTATTTGAATGCAAAATTATTTTCAGGACTGTAATTAAAAAAAAAATCGAATAGTTCCCTCTAGTCAGCCAAGAACAAAAAAATGGAGAGAAATATGGTCTTGAAGATGACAAATGTATTCCTGTGACCTAATACTGAGGGGCCCGGTGGGGCTCCCTGACTGTATTTCCCTCATACAGCAGGAGAGAAATAGGGATTCTGCTACATATCTTAAGTTCTCTTATCTAAACATTGATATTTTAAGGTATACATTTGAAAGAGTCTCTCACAGGTAAATTTTCCACTGGACTAACATTTGGCTGCAAGGAGTAGGGCTCATATATCATCCTGTTTCTCTTCCTATGTTTGGGTTCAGGGTTCCTTTTGAAGCTAAGGAGGAACAGAAGACTAGAGTCAAGCCCTGTAGGATGATAAACAACTGCGGGCAGCAGTCTCATTCCCAGCCATTTATGGCAGCCTACCTGAAGTGCTAGTGATATTTTATACCCCGAGATCTTTTTTAAAATGCTGACCTTTTAATCCACCTTTCCTAAATAACAACAAAAAACGTGCTTTCAGAAGAGTTCTCAGATTTTGTATTTATCATCCCCACACCCACTGAAACTCGTGCACTTCAGTTTTAATTGCTTCCCTCTCCCACTGGGAGGGAGAAAGGAGTATAATTCACTGGAAGGATAAAGATGTGTGGTGCGGCTGTTTCCATGGCCTGTTATTTTTTTCCAGGAGCAGGGCCAGGGTCTTTGTAGGTGCCTTCCTTCTCTCAGGCTTGATACGTGAGGCTTGGAAATAAATTCAGGTTTCTTCTTGCCTTTGCCTTGTCTTTATCCCTTTGGGTCTGGATCTTTCTCTCGGTAGATCCTGTGGGCTTGAGGTTTGGAGAAGCACCTCCCACCCAAAATGACCTTCTTCACCTAAGGCGAGGGAGTTGGTCTTCCTATAACAAATACTTTTTGAAAACCTAAGAGCTGCAGGAGGGACTATAGGACACAGCAGTGATCAGGGCACCTAAGGCGAGTCTGCTTAGTGGTGTTGATAGTCTGCAGGGCGGAAGAACTAAATAGACTACCACAAATGCTTGAGGACCACAAAAGGGTGGGTCTTCTTGGAATGCCAATGTCAGCATCAGCCTAGCTCCAGGGACCACAGGCGTCCTGTCACCTGGGACTGGAGGCTGGCATTCCTTAGGGGGATGCAGAGCAGGCTAGAGTGATCCTGGCTGAGAGGACAACAAAGAAGAAGGCTTTGAGGCCAGAAAGCGTGAAGACACATGTCCTCAGGGACAGCTTTGTGGAAATTTGCTAGGGGGATGCAGTGGGCATGAGGGGCCCTTTGGAAGATAGGCATCACTGAGGAATATAGGGACATGAAGAAGGGGGTGAGGTTAATGATGATCAGAAATTTCTGCTTTCAGCATCCACAAGGATGATGTCAGCATTGCACATAATGGGGCATACATGAGGGACCTGGAGTTCTGATGTGGCCTCTGCTTCATGCACTGCCTCTGCCAGCCTCGAGCCCTTGGCCAGACGAGTGTATGCAGGAGGGTTGAGAGTGGAAGGTTGGGTGGCCTTGCGGAGTTTCCAAACTGTCTCCACTTGAATGCTATGTTCTCTTGGTGAAAGGGGGAGATGTTTACTGCAGGTGAACCTCTTCACATAACCCCTCTAAGAGATCAGAGAAAGTTAAGTACCTCCAAATTATGCTCCCTTCATGTCTTGGAACATTAGTTCCAGGTCCTCGGCCACTTACAGATATCAGAATTGGCAGATGCACAAGTCCTTTATATAAAATAGCAGAGTATTTGCCTATAACCTATATGCATCCTCCTGTATACATTATCTCTAGACCACTTATATTTCCAGTTATAATGTAAAATGTTGCATAAATAGTTGTTATACTGTTTAGGGAATAGTGACAGAAAGGAAATTCTACATGTTAAGGATTGAAACCATTAAAAAATATTTTCTATCCAAATTTGATTGAATCTACAGGTGCAGAAAGCACAGATTGGGAGAGTAGCCTATGTGTTTACTTCTTTGTTTTTTTCCAGTACCAGGAATCAAACTTACGACCTCATGCTTGCCAGGCAGGCGCTGTGCCACTGAGCTAAATCCCAAGCCCCTATGTGTTTACTTTTAAAAATATTTTTTTTTCATTAACAGTAGTATTTGTTCAAGATCATAGTGGAAAAACCAGAAAGTATAGAAAATGAGATAAAAAAAGAACTACTCCCCATGCCATCTGAGGATAACCCCCTGTAGCATTTTGTTATATTTGCTGCCAGAAATGTTAAGGAAAAGTGACCATGCTGCATAGAAAGTCTTAAAGCCTGACTTTTCAACCAGAATCACATTGCGTACTTCTTTTTCCAGGGCCAGTATACATTCTTTTTGGAAATATTTCTTGTATGGTATTTTATCATCTGGCTGTGGTGTCCCTCATCATTACACATTAATGTTAATTCCTCTTTTGCCCTCATACTACTGCTCAGTAAAACAGGAAGAAATGATTCCTTTATAATTTGATATCAAACTTTGTATCTTATCTTTTCTAAAAGTAGTTTTGTTCAGTTTCACAAGTAAGATAGGGATATACTCAGTTATAAAATAAATCCAAGTAGTACAGTTCCATATGGAGTACAAGATGAGTCCCTTTTCTGCCCCCTCCTGATCCCACCTAGATAATAGCTCATGGTTTGGTGCATGTCCTTAGAAAGGTTCACAGGGTGGCTGTCAGAAAAAGCAGCATGTAAGCAGCTTTGAGTAGAAGAATTCTTATTCTGTGTACTATCTCAATATTCTGTGAGAGCTCACTTTGTGCCTTGCTCTAAACTGGCCTCTGTGCTAGAGATGCCAGATTTTGCAGATTAAATCATCAGACAGCCTGTTAAATTTGAATTTTAAATAATCAATGAGTAATATTTTGCATAAATATGTACCAAAGATTGCATGGAATTCTTATACCAAAAACGCTTAATTTCAAGTGAAAATATTTATATTGAATATTATTCCACAATACAAGGAGAACTATGTGCTACAACATAGATGAACCCTGAGCGCATTAAGCTCAGTGAAATATGGTAAACAACAACTACTCTATTATTTCGCTTATCTGAGTTACCCTGAGTGGTTAAACTAAATGAAGAATGGTGGTTGCCAGGGTCTTGGGAAAGGAGGAACGAGAATCGAGTTTCAGTTTTGCAAGATGAAAGGCGTTCTCTGCCCAGATATGGTGGTGGTTGCAGAACAGCGTGAATGTACCTCATCCACTGAATTGGTCAACGTGGTAAATTTGATGTTATCTATATTTTATCACAATCTAAAAAATACTTCTATTAAAAACTACTCATTTATGTGAAATTCAAATTCAGGTAAGCATCCCCAGAAGAATCCAATGTCCCGAGGCCAATTTCCTTGGTCTCTGCTTCTGCCCTTTTATCATAAGTAGCTGAGAGGGTGGGGGCAGGAAATGGAATCCTTTCCTCAGTGTAACCAGGAGGCTCCCTATTTCCTTCTCTGCTTCCTGGAGAACCTGGCGTGGCTTATAACTGCCTGTGAACTGCCGGTGGAGAAGGCAGTCCATCAATCCTCTGGACTCAATTTCCTCATCTGTAAGACAAGGAAGCTGGGCTTCCTGACCTCTGACATTCCTATTCCAGTTGCAAAGTTCTGCAAAACTATACAGTTGCCTTTGCATAGTGATTTGAATATGAATGATTCTTATCATTGTGAAATCTTTTTTATCTCAACAGATGTCTATAGCCCATCTGTTTATAGCCATTATTCTCCATATATTTCTGTATACTTTAAAGAATTTCACATCCCCATAATCTGTTGATGAGTTAGCTCCCTAAATGGAGACAATTTTAGCCTCACATTATTGGTTAAAATTTGAAGTATACTTGTTCCTCAGTATTCATGGGGAAATCATTTTCTGGTTTCCCCTTGTGTACCAAAACCCACAGAAGTTCAAACCTCTTATATAAAATGGTGTAGTACTTTTAGTACGCATATCCTCTCATATACTTTAAATCATCTCTAGGACACTTGTAATACCTAATAAAACACAAATAGTTGTTGTATTGTTTGGGGAATGATGGCAGGGGAAAATTCTATTAAATGTTCAGTACAAATCCAGTTTTTCTCTCCAAATATTTTTGACCTAGAAGTGGTTGAAGCCAAAGGCTGCGGAAGTGTAAGTACGAAGGGTTGACTGTACTTGGAGTTTGGTTTTCAACTGACCAGAGTCAGAGGAGCAGTAGTGAAAAGCAGCTGACAGGTAGTTCCATGCAAAACCATAGAGTTATCTAAACTGGTTCCTCAGTTTCCTCATTTGTAAAATGCAGACAATCATAGTATCTACTTCCCAGTGTTATAAAGATTAAGTTGCCTGATCATATAAAATACTTGGAATAGTATGTACATGGTAAAGTAATAAATGAGTTGCTATTATTACTATTATCTTTTCATAGCTGATTCTTATTCTTTTCAAGTGCTCCAAAAATAAGCTTAGTTTCCCTTTTGAATTTTGTATTATGGGGTGTATTTAATAAGAGTGGCCCTGGCATACTAGGGTCATGCACAAATACTGCTTCCTTTCCTGTATAAACCCATTCTAACACTGGTGAAACCCATGTGTTCCTGGGGGTTCCATGCATTTCCCGGCACAGCAGCTACTTCTCCAATAAGAATTTGGTAACTGTACATGACCTTATTTCAGCTAAAAACAAGCTACCAACCTTGTTAGGTTGATGTCTGCCAACCTAACCTTGCTTATTCCCTTGCAGCCTTGTTAATGAGGTCTATGAGGTTGATGACACCATACAGACCTTGCAGCAACGCCTGAGGGATGCAGAGGACACCTTGCAGTCTCTGGTGCACAACAAAGCTACCCTGGAGCATGACCTGGCTGTCAAAGCCAATTCCCTGTACATCGACCAGGAAAAATGCATGGGAATGCGCAAGACCTTCCCCAACACCCTGAGGCTGGTTGGCTTCTGTTAGAGACCCCACCAAAAGAAGGGGTTTTGGTGCTCTTAAGTAAGGAAAAACTAAGCATTGTCTCAGCATTTAACTCAGTGCTAATACATTTACATATTAAAGGATTTTTATCATAGAATACACTAATATCTTGTCTTTGAAAGCCTTTTATTTGTCTAAACCTTAGTTCTCTGCTATCTACTAGGCTTCAGGGTAATGGGAAGGATTTAAAGAAATAGAATCAATCTACAAAAGAAGTAAACAAGATACTGTGTGTGATTGTTATTGTTGCGTGTGACACGTGAATGGACTGGAACAGAAGACTGTATTACCCCCGAGATGGTCAGGTCAGGAATCTCAAAGTCCTGGTCCCCAAGGTCATATTACTGGGGAGATGGTGGGACCTTTAGGAGGTAGAGCCTAGTGTGTTAGGTGACTGGGACCAAGCCTGTGAGGGTGGCTAGCCTCTTCGTCTTTCTCCTTTCTGCTTCCTGGCCATGAGACAAGCAGTTTGCTCTGCAACATCCTCATCACCATTGTCCCCTGGCATCCACATCACAGGTCCAAAGCAATGGGTCTGCCAGTTTTGCCCCAGAACCACCAAAACTGTGAGCCAAATTAAATCTTTTCTCTTTTATAAGTTAATTATCTCAGGTATTTTATTACAAAAACAGGGTGCAGTTTGAGCTCTTCCGTAAAGGATACACAGAGAAAATGGAACAGACTTCTGGGTATGAGGTAGTTGGGGCAGTATGAGGGGAAAAAAGGTAGAATAATCTATAGTACATTTGGAACAATGGCAAGTAGGCCAGTTTGGTTGAGATTTATAAGGTAAGGACTAAATGAAGAAATAAAATACTGAGATGTCTGGTGGAGAAGTGGGTGGGAGGCTTCAACTCCAGATTCTGGGGCCCCTGGGAACTGACAGGTGTCTCTGAGCAGGGAAGCATCTTTATGAAAGCAGTGGCTGAGCAATGCATGTTTAAGTTTGGAGAGGTGGCAGCAGAAATGAAGGAGCCTGCAGAACACATTACAACAGGGCAGCTGAACTTGGTGACTCTTTACCTCCCAGGTGAAAATAGAGACTGATGCTAGAGGAAATGGAAAAAGAAGCACTGCTTAATTCTAGGGTGTCCCGTGATATCTCAAATCTTTTTTAACAACTGTTGCTCTGGTTTGAATGTGTCGCTAGAAGACATGTATAGGAAAGTTACCCCCCAAAGTCACATATTAATGAAATTTTGAAATGAAGTCTTTGAGGGGTGATTGGGTCCTCAGGACTTTACCTGCACGAATGGATGAATCTGCTCACAGATTGATGGATTAATGGGTAATCTAGGAAGTAGTTTTGCTGTAAAAGCAAACTCTGTCAGTTGCTTGCTGTGTCTTCCCACGTGATGCCCTCTGTCATAGTCTGACACAGCAGGGAGGGCCTCCCAGATGCCGAGCAGAGGCTGGCACCATGTTCCTGGGCTTCCAGAACCATAAGCCAAATGCACCTCTAACTTAGCCTGTCAGTGGTATTCAATTACAGCAACAGAAAACAGGCTGAGACAGCTGTTTTATTATGAATTAAAAACATTTGTATGGCATATATTTTGGAAAATAGAGAAAACACGCAAATAGACACATACAAAATCTCTTGAAAAAACTTTTGAAATCACTCATTAACATAGCACCCAGAAAGTTACTTAAGTTTATTGAGAATGAAGTTTAAGAAAGTTTTATTCTTTAAAGTTAAAGAATAAGGTTATTTGCAATAAACTTAAGTATAAACTCAATATTTTGTTTATTTTTCCAGTTCTTGTGTCATGGAGCTCTCTCTCTCTCTCTCTCTCTCTCTCAACATATCTGTATCTGTAGCTCTATCTCTAACTCTGTCTATATCTATCATCTATCTATGTATCTAATTATATATTAGGTAACATGTAATGTTTCTATTTATCTTCAAAGATAAATACTATATGATATTTATATTTAAATGTCTAGTAATATATTTGGGGTCATATTGATGAATGTTTGTGGCAATTTCTGAAAATACAGACAGACAAAAAAAAATCTGTTTTTCTAAAAGGATGAGTTATTTCAATATTCATAGACTTTATTTCTGTATTTATATACACATTCTTCTGTCAAAAATAGTCATACTAAATAAAGTAGCTGACACCTTTATGTAAATGTTTACTTAAATATGTAAATATTTACATTACTACGGGTCAGACATACTTCTCAGTGACTTATTCACCGCAACTCATTTATGCTTTTTCTGCCCAATACTCCTTCTTTGTCATTAAGTATAGCAAACTCATTTTAACAACTTTTTAAATATTCCATTATATTGGGGTTTCAGAATTTTCTGTAGCAGTTCCTTATTATTGGGTATTTGGATTGTGCTTGACTCCTCTCTGGCATAAAACATGTATTTGTGATCTAATCTTATTAACTAAATATATCTTTTATATTGCCCTTGGAACAATCATTAGATCAAGTCTTTAGGCATATTCTTAAAAAGATTTTTACAATGTGTTGTCAAATTGTCCTCTCCCTACTCTTCACCGCCACAAGCAAGTCTGAGTGGGCTTGACTTCCTGCATCTTTGGTAACCTTTTCATTCATAATACAAAGTGAATGTCTTACTGTATTCGTATCTATTTCTTGAGGACTGCTGATGTAGAACCCCTTCCATTTCCATTTGGCAGGTGTATTTCTTCTTTGGGGAATTACCTGTTCCTATCATTTGCTTGTTTTTCTGCCTTGAGTATTAACCTTTTTGAACTTATTTTTTTCAAGTGTTCCCTGTGTATTAACCATAGAATGTTTCTGTTGTATGTACTCACAGAATGTATATATTTAAATTTTGCTTGCCTCTATATTTTGTTAATTTTTAAATAAGAAAGCAAAAATATGTGTTTTCTGGGCTTTCACCTTTGGTGTTATGTTCAGAAAGCACTTCTGCATCCTAAGACTACTGATGTTTTTATGATTTGTGAAATTACACTTAGCCATCTGGAATCACATTGAGATTATGGACACAGTGTGCTAGCTTTGAATCTTTTTGTTCTAGAAAGTATGAAATGGGAAGAGGGACTATAGGAAGGAAATGTTTTCTCTCTTTTCCCTCGTATTTCTCACTGCTGCTCTATCTTTTTCTCTCCTTTTAACATTTCTCTCTATACCCTAGAGTTCTTGCTCTGCCTTAGCTATTGTCCTTTAATCCTTATTTCCTTCTTTTCCTCCACCACCTCTCTCTCTCTCTCTCTCTCTCTCTCTCTCTCTCTCTCTCTCTCTCTCTCTGTGTGTGTGTGTGTGTGTGTGTGTGTGTGTGTGTCTGTCACCTCACATCCCCACTCACATTTCTTAGATGTTTTAAGATCTTGGTTGATTAATGTCACAAAACATTTTTAAAGACCAGAAGGGTTGACATACAGATGACAAACTTGAGCCAGGGTTATTCTGCCAGGCTCAGTATATCATTTTAGAAATCAAATTGTAGGTTTTGTCATTCTCCCTTTGCTTCTAATGGAAATAAAATATATGAATAGCACTGAAATATTTAGCTATTAGGGTAATCAAATGTTGGTATAATAATTTTATGATTGTTTTAAAAACATGAATTCTCTATATCTCTTATTTGTTATGGGTTTGGGGAAAATCTTTCCAACCTTTTCCATGAACTGCCCTTTTAACTGTTTTTTGAGGGATACATGCTCATATAGTCTTTTTACCTAAGTTTATATTTCCGGCATTACAAGACTGTGATGGGAAGAAAACGTAGTTCAGACATAGAAAAAGTCTAGTTTCCTTGTTATTTTGGTAAACTGTGGGCAAGGCTAAATTCTGCAAATAGACGTTTGGTTTCTGGTCTAAAACATTGCAGCTACTTTGTGAGGACAAATTCTCTAATGTTGAAGTTCACAAGTAGCCAAGACTCAGAGAGTATGACCACGTTGAAGAATCTCAGGGCTACAAATATCAGCACATGATTTGGCTTTATCTATTGAGCCCCAAACTGTCTTTAATATTGTGTGGCTTTAGGAAGGATGCTGGAATGTCAAAGGCTTCCACTTGCCCAAGCATCATTCAGATTTAGAAATGTGGTAATTGCCCCTAAATAGCCAAGCCACCTATAATTTTAGTAATTTCCATTTATGTCTCTGGAGAGTGTTGTCATAAACACCTCTCACCTGGTACTTTTGCTCCTGAGTTCATGGTATAAATAGCTGAACTATGGGGTCTGGTTTTAGGTTATAATTTTTGTTTTGCACTGAGAACAGGAATGATTCCTTCTCTTTGTATACGGGCTGAACCAGAGCGCATGGGGAAGGTGAAGCTACTGTTTGTTCTTGTGCCCTGAAAGTTCTCTTTCAACTTCCCCACTCCCACCTTGGCTCTGAAGTGTTCCCAGAAGGCCTATATGCACCGTTGGCCCGCACTGCCAAGATCAGCCTTCTGGACAGAGCCCTGGTGGTAGCTTTTCTAAACCTTGTATGTACTGAGATACCTTGTCTGGCACTTATTCATGCATGCATGAGGAAAAGAGACAGTATCTAATCGCTATTCCAAGGATAGCAAATTGATTTTACCTTGGAGGCCAGCCCTGGTCCTCTGGGAATACTAATTTGGAACGCTGAGTGGAAGGCTCCTGTGGCCACCTGTGAGCTCAGCTCCTAAGAATCTAGACATCCAATGGGTGATCCCATATGCAGGGGAAATGTCAGCACATATACTGTCATCCTGCTCTCTGGAGAGTTCTGAATTCTTCCTTAGCTCAGGTACTTATCTTGCAACATGAAGAGTTCTGTTTTGTGGCCTTTGGCTAACTCCCCTGGAAACTTACTGTTTCTAATTTTGCTGGGAGCTAACAGGAGATCTTTCCATCGTCATATTTTTTCCTTTCAGAAAGGAAAAACCTCTAAGGACACTATCATGACCCAAGAAGCAATTCAGATCACATTGTGGTGGAGTAGAGAGGGAGCCTGTGGGCATAAGAGCCCTTTCACTGCTATCTCAATGATCTCCCCTGTGTATGAATAAGGTATAGGAATCATAAAAATAGCTTTTAATTCTCAATCATTTTCTTTCCTCTCTGTAAGGTAAGGGTTAACTTTATGGTGAAGTGATATCTTTGGATTAGGTTTCAAAGTTCT